GGGGGTGGGGGTTCGGGAACAAGATTTACGGGGGAACAGATTGGGGCCAATAGGGGGACTTTTACCCCAACCGGGGGGAATGGGTTTGGGTGTTCCCCCCCCCCCCCCCCCGCAACCTCTGGGGTTTTACTAAGCTAATTCGCGTATTGTCTTTTGTTTTTTCAATATTTTGGCACGCGTTTAACAGGCACACAGCAACCACGTTGTAGAACGTTGATTCACGCAAGTTGTATATGTCATCGATTGTGATGAATAGTGTGTTCGGTGACCGAGGTCGAAAGTGGTGGCCGATTTTTCCACATGGATTACAAAAGAATCGTGTGATGCGACATGCATTTTGTACTGTTTTTATCTAGAGTTATGACCTTTGTGTCATGTCCCTTGTAACGTTTTGGCGTTCTGGTGCGATTCCGCCTTTCATGAACCAAGTTTTACCCCCCTTTTTATCTATACGCCCTCCTTTGGTTGCGATACTTTTGTTTTGTCTTGGGTGTTGACTACCTGTGTATGTAGTTGGCAGGTGGACACGAGCTCTCTTCCCGCCACGGTGCTTTGCGTTTTTGGCGGCGGCGGGATGTGAAGTTCGGCAGTAGATCTCCCCTTCGTGGTGGTCGGACTGTCTTAAGCGGGTGCTGTGTGAATTTGATAAGAATACGGGCTTGGGGTTGTTGTTTCCCTGTCCTGTGCCTGTGCAGAGGTTGACGCGTTGCTCTCGTGCTTAGCGTATGAATAGAGCATGGTGGAGTTAGGCAAACGGTTGTGTTCGCGCCGTAATTGCATTTTCGATCATGATAATGTGTATCGTGTCCTCTCTCTCTCTCTCTCCTCTCGGGTGAAGGCCCCCCTTGCTCGCTCGCACCTGCCTTGGAAGCGACTGGGATTTTTTCTATTGAGAAGGTTGCGAATTGTTCTTGAGTCCATTAGCAAGCCACTTTTCCCTCTCGTGAAATCATTCGTAACATGTTGGCTACGCTTGTCTCGTGGTCTGAGCTATCAACAACGTGTTACAGCCACCGTTGCTTGCCTTTTCGATGCCCCGCTGTATCTTTTGGGTGTTTTCTGTGCTGTCTTTTCTCGGTTCAACTTTGTTTCTATGTGGCGCACCATTCTCGTTGCATGCTTCGGCCTAAACGTCGCTGTTAACGTGCCGGGCTGGTTGCGCCTGTGGTGTGCGTGCGCATTGCACTGTGTCGTTTGCTGTGTAAAATTTGACCATGTCTACTTTTTTGTGCCTCTTTTTTCTACGCACTGCGCATCGCATCACACAAGGCCTACCCGCACTCAGGACGGGACGCTAGAAGGGACCACGTGTCAAAGTCCTCACAGTTAAGGTTCGTTGACGCCAATGGGAACCAAACCACCTGCTAGAGGAAAGTGTGTCATCTTTTTGTGCATACAGAGGTTTGCATACATGCAGTGTGCGCCTGCACCTCAAGAGCCTTCTTATTTTTTTTGCGCAAACCCTTGAGTTCTGAGTTCCTATTTATATATGGGTGTTCCCACCGCCACTACGTAGTTTTCGGATGGGGTCGGCTTTAAGTTCTTACGCATCATATGCATGTGCAAATTTGAAACCCTCATTGCAGTTCCGCCTGCTGCAGGATGTTATTGGTACGACACCCACACACACACGCCACGGACGGAGTAATGCGACGAGAGCCCCCAACAGCACAGTTTCGCCGCGCGCCCCTTGGCAGCGCAATAAATTGTCAGTTCCTGCGATCTGCGCCCAGCGACAGGTGGCGCATTCTCCGTAAATTCTCACACGCCGGAGGAGAGGACATGACAAGGACAACTGGACTGCGGATGGAAACTATGTATCTGCATGTAGAATCTGAAACAACACTGATTTTCGGATGCGCCCGAGTACAACTAACTGCTGTGATGATTAATTAGTTTCCGCGTGTGCTTCCCGCAGACAAATACTGTCGCTCGGGGTACCACAGTATTCATTCTGGTATGTAATGTAAGAGCAGAGTGATTGTGAAGGTGGGCCAATTGCGAAAAACAGAGGGAGGGGCGGGGGGGGGAGCGAAGAGAGAAACGCAGACAGACGTGTGTTACCTCTGAAAATGAAAATGCCTCCTTTTGGATACCCGGGGATATCTCGGGCTCATCCCCCCCTACACGCAATCCGCGTATCCAACGCCGCGAACAACACGTACACACCATCCGAAACGAGGCACGACCCCAGACCACCCGGTAGCGGCTACACTCTCTTCAACCCCAACGTTCGGGCAAAGCCTGCCCTTTGGAGCGGGCGAGTCGCCCTCTGCCGTGTGCGCATCCAAATCCAAACAAACATGGTCAAGTACAGGAGGGTTCGGCGAGCGGTATCGGCCAGGACAACGGCAGCGCTAGTGCTGCTCGTCCCACCGACGGCCGTGGCCTTCTTGTACCCCAGCATCTCTTCTGTGCTTCCTCCTGCTACAGCTCTGTGCGATGATGGCGCCAGATCTGGCTGGCTGGAGGACGGCGGCGCATCATCACGGGGGGGCGGCGGGACAAGGACCAGTAGCAGCGTCGTCGGCGGGAGGATCGGAAGGGACGGGGGAGGAGTGGCATCGTTGCGGGCGGAGGTTCTTCCGGAGGGCGGAGTGTCTCCGTGCATCATCAAGGTGTGGTGGAACTGCTGTAGCTAGGTTTTCCTATTGCCGTTGCGTAAACACGGGCGTCAACAAACACGAAGTCAGTCGCGTTTGAGCAAGAACAGGCATGTTTTTTTTTGCGGCGACTTCGTTCGCGTTTCAAGTGAAGCACCAGAACGGATTTGTATCGATCGGCGTATTCCTGCGTGCATATCTTTTGTCGTTGACCCCGTAGATAGAGAACACTACGGGGGAGATGTCTTGTGGTATTTGTACCTATACAACTGTGATTCGCACCTGCTGGCATTACTGATCGAAATTTTTCATTGTATAGGCCCCAAATAAACCCAGTCCCAGTCAGTTTCCCTCCATTAAATGTGAAGACTTCAACACATCCTTTTCAAATGTGGTCTTATCTCGAATGGGTATTGCAGTCTTTCTGTGTTTGTATTTATTAAGGAATAATTAAAACACACACAGAAAGACTACCCATTCGAGATATACCCACAGTCGAACGGGATGTGGTGGAGTCTTTTCAGTGAGTGGAGGGAAACCGGCTGGGTACTGGACTTATTTCGAGTCTTTTAAGTCTATACACTGTATTTATGTTTCCTAATATCTCTCTTCTCCCTCGCCCGGTGGTACGTGGGTTGAGACGTTCAAACGCGACGAGAAGCACAACAAGTGGGGGAAGGGTGGGCTGCGACTCCTGGGTGCGTGGCCCGATCAAGACCCGAAGCTTTCCCGTGCGGACTGCTCATCTCTCTTTTTTCTCTCCCTCTCACCAAATTGCGAGAAACACGAGCAGATTCTACAGACTATGTCGCTGTAGACTCGGCCTGAGTGGCACTGCCGTGTTTTGGGCAATGCTAGTGAAGCTACATCCACACCCCATGGGTCATGCCACCCCCCCGAAAAGACTCGCCTTGAGTCACCTACCTGTTCTATTGTCGCCATTTACACGTAACTTTGGGCTTCAAATGCCAAAGTGCCGGAGGTTGCGCAAGATACCACACCCACCCGCTTTACCACTTTTCAAAGCTCGCTTAGTCCTCAGGGCGAAGAGGTTACCAAAAATGAGATCACACGTTTTTCGGAAAGCTCTCGACGAGAGACGGTTCCACCGCGGCCATTTTCGGCACCTGGGAACCTGTGAGTCCCGTTCTCTATCCACATTCTCGACATCCGACAACAACCTCCGCCGCCCACAGTACGCACTACAGAGCGCAGATGATGAATCGGGGGGGGGGGGGCGTACTCATTTGTTGCTTGCCGTAGTCATTTGACCATTGACCACGCGTCCCTTTCGAGACGGAGCACCGTTCCTACACCTACTAGAGACACCACCAACATTTGGGAGCTCTTTACGTTTCTGCCACAAACTCCATAAAAATTTCTTGCACATCTTATCCCCGTCCTCTAGGGCCTCTTGTGCCCACCATCTATCCCCAATTATCGCGATCGTTTTTTCGCTGTTGTCTAATTTACCAAACTTGTCCATGTCACACCCTCTCTGTCTCATTTCCTCCTCGAGATCCTCTCTTTCCTTCCTGTACAACTCACACTCCCCAACTATGTGGGGTCTACTCTCCTCCGATTTGCCACATGGACATGTGTGTCTATCCTCCTCTTCCTCTCTCCTACGGCTGGTATACCTCTTCCTCCGTTCTG